TAGCTGAGGGTATAGGGTTTAGGGTTTAGGGTTTAGGGTTTAGGGGTTTAGGGGTTTAGGGTGTAGGGTTTAGGGTTTAATATAGGGGCCTAAATAATTACCAATACTATTTGGGGGTTCCTTATTATATCTATAGTATCATGGGCCCCGAAACCCTATTCTAATTTTGGGCAATTCAACACCTGTAGCTCTTCGTCTTGTTTGTGTGGCTTCCCTTCTATAGGGTTGAGGGTCTTAGGGTTTAGTGGTGTCCATGCGTTGAGAGGCCACCGGGGAACTAGTTATGAGAGCCCGAAAGAGGGGCTGTCTTCGCCGAAAGCCTTAAAGGAACCCATAATCTATACAGGAACTCGAACACAGGAGCCCTTGAAGGACGCCTTAAAGGGGCCCTTAAGAAAGCGCCGGCTGAGGTCATTGGTCGAGAAAAGTGAACGGCGGCGCAAAGATGCCACTCAAGGCTTGATGACGCACACAATCCACATAGGTAGTTGTCAAAATTATGGTCCCTTTTGGGGTACCCTAAATAATAGGTGCCGTAGTATAATAAGGACCCAAAAAGGGACCATAATTTTTGACAACCACCCACATGAACTGTTTTAGGGCTTAGGGCAACTACTATTATGGAAGTGGGCCCCCCCCCGCACCACTAAGAATGGTCTTTTGGGACCTAATTCCCTAAACCCTAAACCCTAAACCCTAAACCCTAAACCCTAAACCCTAAACCCTAAACCCTAAACCCTAAACCCTAAACCCTATCTCATTATTGTAGTAGTGTGTACAGACCCTTTGGGTTGAAGCTGGGCTCGCAAGACTTGTTCCTTACATCCCAAAACCCACAAGTTCCTATTCTAATTTCTAAGGGGTTTAGGGGTTTAGGGTTTAGGGTTTAGGGTTTAGCCCCTAGATTATTCTCTTGTCAGCTTCGGCTTGGCATCATAGGATAGACACGGACCCCCGCTGGGGAATCAAACGCATTCCTCTGGAGGAGGGGACTCCTTCGTGACTGCAAGCACCCAGTTCTTCAAAGATCCTTCTATTACGGAATATACCTTACATCATATTAGGGATCGGATTCAGAATATACCCTACATCATATTAGGGATCTGATTATGATGTCCGATTTGTTCTGCAAGCAAGGGATATTGGAAGATCTGGGTTAGCGCCTGTTTCTCAGGCACGTCGGGAGGGCTTTCTCAACAGCAACTCCCGGACGATCATGGCTCTCGTCAATATAGGAGCCTTTACAAAACTAGTGCAGGGTTATACCGTACCATAATTATAATCCTTAAGGACGAAATGATCCCTAAAAGGGTTTCAGGCTCATATAAAATATAGGGATTCGTAGTACAAGGGTAGTATAGGGCCCATTACTTATAAGGGTCATTTGGTCCCCTAGGATTAGGAGCCCCCGAAATGCTGCTAGGATGTGGCTTACGAACACTAGCTCTGGTATGGGTGCGAGCAGGAGTAGGAGCCGGTAGACCCTGCGCAGTTGAGAAGGTCCTTGTAGCTCTCTCATGAAGTGAGACATGGCTACTGTAGGGGCCTTAAAAATGACCTATATTATTTTGGGGATTCCTTATTATAGACATAGTATCATGGGCCCCAAAACCCTCTTTCTAATTATGAAGAGGCCCCTAGATTAAGTGGACAGGCTTCCCCGAAAGCCATTGGCGCTCCAAAGTGCTCAGATAGGTTCAAGCTTCTGAAGTTCCTAGAGACTCCAAAACCCCTTAATTTCGGAATATACCTTAAATTATAATTGGAACCCTAATATGATTTAAGGTATATTCCTTAATTAAGGGGTTTTGGAGTCTCTGGGTTGCATGTCTACTCGGCATACAAAGCCGCTTGGCCCGCCTGCGAAAGGGGCGTATGTGCGCCGTGGCCATACCCAATGTTTTGCTAATAGTTTCCAGAAGATAGCGAGTACCGCTTGAAGGGTAGCGCACATGGGTAGTTCTTTAAATTAGGGTCCCTTTTTAGGTCCCCAACAATAGTACGGCACCCTTATAAAAAGGACCCTATAAGGGACCCTAATTTAGAGAACTACCCACATGCATCTCTCCTTCCACACTACTCAGCCAAACCCTATTCTAGACCCTGCTTCATGTCGGGCTTTTGGGGTGTTATGGCTACGGGGTTTACGACGTCATCTCGCTTTTTGTATGGTTTTGCAGACGTTTCTAGATGATGCTCGGTACTCTGTTGAGGCTTATGAGGTTTCAGGTACCTTCCCACTTCGGGAGTTTAGGATTGCAGGTTGGTTGTGTGATGAAGCGGTTTAGGGTTTGGGGTTCGGTGCATTCCAGTCTTCAAGCAGTCAGTGAAGAGTAGGTATTTTATGGTATACCGGAAGGTAGTTGGGGCAGCCAGGTAAATCCCAAAGTTTGATTCCAAAGTCCCAATATCTGGACAAAATCGAAATACTTACCCTAAAACCCTAAACCCCATAAACCCTTCCTAGCGGTCGGAATAGTGTACTAGAGTACCTTGTGCATATACATATATATATATAGAGAGAGAGAGAGAAAGAGATAGATAAACATATATTATATAGGTATATAGATATACAAATATAGGTATAAAAGTTTAGATGAGCTATGAACATGACATAGATATAGATATAGGAGAGGCACACACACACGCCAGAAGGAACTCGCAAGCACCATTCTCGGTAGTAAGTCCTCGATAGTCCGTTAACATCAACCTAAGGATGCCTGGATAGCTGAAGGTGCCTAAGCCCTACCTAAGCCCGAAACCCTAAATCCTACTCCACCCTAAACCCCTAAACCCCTAAACCCTAAACCCTAAATCCTACTCCCTAAACCCTAAACCCTAAACCCTAAACCCTAAACCCTAAACCCTAAACCCTAAACTCAAACCCTGAACACAAAAGCTCGCCTGAAAAGCCTAGAGACTTCAGACCTGTGGAAAACCTATCAAAAAAGGACCGTACCCATAGGCCCCATAGTAGTTCCTTTTTGTGGCTTATATTTAGGATCCTATTAGGTAATCCCCAAAAGGAACTACTATGGTGATGCTGGGTAGACTCTAAAACGAAGAAAGACCCCAGCACAGAACTCAGAGGGACCCTACAAAAATCTCGGTCATGGTATTTTAAGCTCGGCCCTAAACCAAACCCAAACTCTAAACCCTGAAACCCTCTAAAACCCCCAAACTCTGACCTAAACCGACCTGCTTCGCAGCATAGCGCTGGCAGTCACCGTCGGGCGTCCGCTCGAGGACCTGGACGGCATGGGCCAATCGGGGGCGGGGGGGTTAGGGTTTAGGGTTTAGGGTTTTAACTACCCAAACTCTAAGCCCCGAGCACACACCTGGACCCAGCGCAGTGACAGGCGGAGGAGCACGCCGAATATGCAGGATATTGCCACCCTGGGTTTTGCTTTTGCAACCACTAGTCACTAGTCCCATGCATTCCTGAAGGAGAACAGAGCCAAATACCCAAAGGCCTTAAACCCGACAAGCCCTACATCGGAACTTGTGAACATCTTGTGCACACCCTATCCTCCCAACCCGAAGCCGTAAACCCCAAACCCGATCGTCCTCCCGGAAAAGTCTCAAACCCAATCTTCAGCAAGACTAGACTGAGCCCACTAAAAGTTTAAGGCGGGCTCCCGAAACCCTATTATACTAACAACCCTTAAACCGGAGGTGCCTCAACGAGCTTGACATGAAAACTCCAAGGAGCTTTCAATCCTAAATAGAACCTTAGAGCGCTAAACCCTAAAACCATTAAACTCTTTAGTTACAGTGGTGGTGCCTCACCCTGAACCCTAAACCCAATACACCATGAACCCAACCCTGAACACCCAAACAAAAACATAAACCGCAGCGTGCCTCAATGAGCTTGCCGTCATGATCATTGTCTACCAGGTCGTTCCAGGCGTCGCCCCAGATCAGCTTGATGCAGTCAAACCTGTTTCGGCTTGGGGGTTTGCAGCTGGGGCTCAGAATTTAGGGTTTAGGGTGGCTGTGCACCCCGAAACCTATAACCTGAACATGCTGGAAGGCGTTTGGTCTGAAGGGTTTCGTGATCCGCGGCAGGCAGGCCAGGCAGGTAGGCAGACCAGAGAGAAAGAGAGAGAGATAGAGAGAGAGAGAGAGCGAGACAGAGATGCACACCCTAATTACATCACAACTAAGAGAAAGAGAGAGAGAGAGAGAGAGAGAGAGAGAGAGAGACAGAGATGGACACTTTAATTACATCGCAAAAGGACCCTGACGGATAAGAAGGCACATTTAAAAGACATCTCTCTCTCTCTCTCTCTCTACTCTCTCTCGCTCTGTGCACGTACTTGCATACAGTCATAGCTCATGGCAACATAACATAACAAAACATAACACAACACAGCAAGGCATCACATAGCGTGGCATAGCATAGCATAGCTTGGCATAACATAACATGAGATACCGCAGCATGACATAGCAAAGCACGGCACAGCATAGCATCACATAGCATGGCATGACATGACATAGCTTCGTATCGCATAGCGCAGCATAACATAGCATGATTAGCATAGCATCACATTGCATAACATAGCTAACATTATACATGGCCATAGCACAACATAGCATAGCAGAACATGTCATAGTATGGCATAGCATGGCGTGGCATCACATAGCACAGCATAGCATTGCATAGCATAGCATAGCATAGCATTAGCATAGCATAGCATAGCATAGCATTAGCATAGCATAGCATAGCATAGCATAGCATAGCATAGCATAGCATAGCATAGCATAGCATGGCATAGCATAGCATAGCATAGCAAAACAACATAACATAATATAACACATCGTAACATGTACACACCTAGACACATACAGGCATAGAAACATAGAGACGTATATTCATACATACGCACATACACATGTGCACAACGCATCCACCCCGGCACACATGTGAATTTAGCCGACCCTGGCTTCGTCAGGTGACCAGGTGATCCATCTCCCAGTCCCCTGGGAGGATCTTGAAAGCAGAACTCCCAGTGGGACCCCATACTTAGGTGCTGAGTACCCTAGCCCTAACAAGGTCAACCTTTTCAGTATAGTACGTAGGATTATATGAGCCCCAAAAGGTTAAAGGTTACCTACTCCGCCCCTAAGTATAATACTAAGGGTGCTTTACAGGAGCCCCGGTTCAGGAATCCAACCCTAAACCCTAAATCCTATTTTCTAGATCCTCCGGGGGCCTGGTTTCGGGTTCTTGTTAAGGAACCCAGCTTAAGTTAGGGCTTAGGGTTTAGGGTTACCCTAATTTCGGGATCTATACTAAAGAGTATCCCAAAACCTTGAAGCCCTGAACCCTTCATACTTGAAGCCCCAAAAAACCTGAACCCTAAACAATGCGGAAAGAAATCCTGACCAAGAACCCTCCTAAACCCTAAACCCTAAACCCTAAGCTCTCTGGGAAGGCGCACCCGGCTCCTCGGAAGATGCCCTCGAACTCCTGTATGACCTGCTTTGGGGTTTAGGGTTGTAATTAGGGTTTAGGGTTAAGGGTTTAGGGTTTAGGGTTTAGGAGTTTCAGGGTTGTAATTAAGGTTTAGGGCTTAGGGTTTAGGCATAGGGTTTAGGAGTTCCAGGTTTTGGGTTTAGGGTTTGCGACCTGCTTTGGGGGGCTACTTTCAGGGTCCCGTTGAGGACCCCAAGCCGTAAACCCTGAACCCTGAACACCCAAACCCCAAACCCTCAGTGAGGGTCGGCAGCGCTTCCGACAGAGAGTGGCATTGCGTGGGGAATTAAGGGTTTAGGGTTCAGGTTTTAGGGTCTAGGGTTTTGGGGTTTTAGGGTTTTGGGTTTAGGGTTTAGGGAATGTAGTGCCGTTTTGGTGTAACCTAGTACATCGTGAGGATGCTAGAACAAGAAAGCACTGTAAAGAGCATGAGTCTGCAGTATCTATTTCACTTGTATGTGGAAGTTCTCTAAATTAGGGTGCCCTTTCCAGTTCTAAACAAGTTAGTACGGCACCCTCCCAAAAGGGACCCTAAAAGGAATCCTAACTTAGTAAGAACTTGCCATGTCGTTGTAAACGTTAGGCATTGAACGAGAGGGCTTCGGATACTGCATCAGCTCTGCCGACTTCTTCAAACGCCTCCACCATGCACTCAAAACTTTACTAAGCCTAAACCCTAAACCCTAAACCCTAAACCCCTAAACCCCTAAACCCCCAAACCCTAAACCATTCGGGCTTTTAGGGCTTAGGGGTTTAGGGTTTTAGGGCTGAGGGTGCGACGGCTTAGTGGTTTGGGGTTTCTTACGGGCTTAGGGTTCGATAAGAGGTTTAGGGTTTAGGGTTTAGGGCTTTAGGCAGTTTAATCTAGGGGCCTTAATAGTTAGAATACAGTTTTGGGGCCCGTTATACCATAATCATAAGAAGGAACCCCTCAAAATAGTATAGGTAATTATTTAGGCGCCTATATTAAGTATGAGATTATAGTTATAAGAAGGAACCCCCCCAAAATAGTATAGGTACTTATTTAGACCCCTGCATTAGGGGTTTAGGGTGGAAACCCTAAACCCTAAACCCTAAACCCTAAATCCCTACACCCTAGACCCTAAACCCCTAAATCCTAAACCCTAAACCCTAATGTATACATTAAGGGTTTAGGGTGGCAGCCCAGACAAAAGAAAATGCGGCCTTGGAGTTGCCGCGGACAGGGCCATCGAGTCGCTGGTAGTTGCAATTCACGATCATCACGAGGTTGTTGAGCCTTTAAAGCCAGGGTCTTAGGGTTTGGGGTTTAGGGTTGAGAGTCTAGGGTCTAGGGTTTAGGGTTTAGGATTTAGGGCTTAGGGTTTAGGATTTAGGGCCTATCGGCTCAGGGTTGGGCCTTCAATGGGCGCCCTTTAAGATCAGAAGGATTCCTTTGAGTTGAGGGAGCCCTTAAAGGAAACCTTAGGGATTGCTTTTGGGTTTAGGGTTCATGATTCTTTAAGGGTACACCGCACGTTTCAGTGTAGGCTTCCTAGGAGGGTTCCTTTAAAACAGGGATCGTTCTAGTGTTCCTTAGAATCGGGCTCCATTAAACTAGGGTTCCTTCAACCTTTGGAATCGGGTCGCTTTTGGGCTTTTCTAGAATCGGGCTCCTGTAGAAGAGGGTTCCTCAGAGTAGGGCTCCTGTATTAAAGGGTTCCTGTGGGCCTTTGTAAAGCCCCTCCTGCGGATTTCGGGTTTAGGGTCGTCCATGACATTAGAGGGTGCTTGTAGGGTTTCGACATTCATGGGGCTGTTGAGCCCCTACCTTTCGGCTAAACCCTAATCCTACACCCCAAAACCCCCAAACCCCAAAACTTTAAACCCCAAAACCCCCAAACCCACAAACTCCTAAACCCCTAAACCTAAACCCTAACACCTAAACCACTCCTAAATCCCTAAACCTAAATCCTAACACCCAAGCCCCGGCGAGCATCATTGTGAGATGGGCCTCTCGTAGCCAGCCCGCGCGATGGCCTCGGAAGCAAGGGGTTTAGCTGTCGGAGATCGGAATGAACTTTGGATAAATTTTAGGGTTTGGGGTTCAGAGTTTCGGGTTAGGGTTCAGGGTTTAGGGTTACGGTTCTGGGTTCAGGGCCTACAATATACTACGAACAAGAACAGTGATGATAACAACTATCATACAAGTAACAGTCGGAACGGGTGATAAGGGTTTGTTCTGACCCTTGCTGCAGGCCGCATGGGTGGTTTCAAACAGAAAGCACGGGGAGCGAGCTAAGGGCGGTAGGTTTGGAGTTTCAGTCTGAACCCTAAGGGTATACAGTGACTGTAGGGTGCCTTCTTTCTGATTATTCAGATCTCTTCTTGACCACTTTGGAATTGGAGGCTGAGGAGGGTTTGGAACCTCAGCGCTTCGGGCAATAAAGGTAATAGTTTCCAAGCCATATAGTTAAGCCCCAAGCCCTAAATAAACCCTAAAACCCTAAACCCTAAACCCTGAACCCTAAACCCTAAACCCCTAAACCCTAAACCCCTAAGCCCTAAATCCTAAACCGTTTGTACATTCGGACCCCGAAGCCCGGTAGTCGACATCATATGGGAGTTTCCGAAAATAAGGGGTACCTTATTTGGGGGTCCTTATAATAAGGATCCTACTATTTAGGGTACTATATTAGGGTCCCCTATTTTCGGAAACCATCATATATCTTCAAGGTGGTGTGCCCCGGAAGCTTTGAAGCCTCAGCCTTTCTGAGTTGTGGCAGAAGGGCCTCCAAAATTCTCTCTGCGTAGGCTTAGCTTAGCGGTTTCGGGTATAGGGTACAGGGCTTACGGTTCATATGTCTACAAAGCCATCAGAGTCGAACAGTATACAGCATAACCCGAACCCTCAGCTGGCTTTGTTGCCATGGGTGCCGAAACTTTACCCTCGTCATGACCGCAGAGTTAAAGTAAGGTTTTGGCGGTTTGGGATTACCTTAACCCCCAATAACTTACCTTTTCAAGGACTTACAGGAAAGAAATCATGATAGCTAACCCTAAAAAGGTAGGTTCTCTAGGGTCCAGGTAGGGTCTAAGGGTGGGTTTTTTTAAGTAGTTTTTTTACCATCGCTCCTTTACCAGCCTGCAGGGTTTAGGGTTTAGGGTTTGGGGTTTAGGGTTTAGGGTTTAGGGGTTTAGGGGTTTAGGGTTTAGGGTTTAGGGTTTAGGGTTTAAGGTTTTAAGGTTTTTTAGGGGTTAGGGAGTTGACGGTTTTGAGGCCGAGGCGTAGATCGTCTCAGGCTCATCCATCTCGCCGTCGCCGATGAAACACCTGAGAACCCAGGGCTTATGTTAGGAGTTAGGACGAGGGGGACCCTTTGGGGATATAGACTTATAGACCCTGTCAATAAGGTGCCTTCTAAGAGCGCCAGAAGTAGGGTTAAGAAGGGTCCCCTTTCAGGGGTCTCCCTAACACTACCTAGGATTAGGATTTGTCTTTCCCTACGCCCCAAACCTGCGGGGGTTCAGAACGAAGCACCCCAACCATACTTAGGTAGTTCTCTAAATTAGGGTCGCTTTTAGGTTTGGGGTTTAGGGTCCCGTTTAAGGTCCTTCTTATAAGGGTGCCGTACTATTTTGGGGACCTAAAAAGGGACCCTAATTTGGAGAACTACCCACATAACTCTTTGGGTCGAAGGGGCCACGGGCAAGTCAGAGATCCCAATAGCCTGACCTTCA